TCGGATGATCTTCTGGAAGATGACAATGAGTCCACCGAGCTGGATGGCAACCTGTCAGATGCGAAGCTCGACTCAGTCAGTTTGCGAACCAGCTGTTGAAGGGATGGTTTCCGAAGGTTCGTGAATGCATCCGGCAGTCCAGGACCGAAGAGAACGTGTCGGAGGTGTCGAACAGCAGTGGCTTGGACCTGTTTGGACCGCTCAAGCCCAAGCCGAGAGTTTGGATAGGTCTTTTTCTGGTATGTTACTTCCGTAATTCAATGGAGTATACCTAGATCCCTGTTCATTCCCACGACGCCTTCGCTGAAGGCAACGACTCCTGGATTCTACCGGTGCCCTGGCTGGCAGTTCACAAGGTTTGTTGACATGGTTGCCCATGCTTACCGTGCGGCGTAGGGGACGCATGAGCCATGAGCCGCCAAACCGTGCATGCTGATGAGCGCTGTATCCAATCCAGTCTTGAAGCGTTGTGCCATCATTGGGGCTCTTGCTGCAGCTTCATCCGGAACTCCCCCGTCCGACCATGAACACGTCAGAAACATTCAGAAACCAGGACGAAAGTTTAATTTAATTCAGCACTACTGGAGGACGACATGCTCATCTTTGGGAACGAGTCTGCCAACGACAGTGATGTGCCTTGTTTACTTTGGGCGATATGCAGTGCGTTGTTTTGGGGCTGGTGTGTCCGCGTTTGGCCAACACACCGTGACATTGTGCAACAGTGGAGGCCGGCATGCGATTTCGATGGTGTTCTAGCGGGGGGGGAGTGTTGAATGTGCGCAGCTGAGGGCTGGAACGAGACGGAACTCCCCATCAACGTGTCCAATGTCACGGCGGCCATCAATGTCTCGGAAGATCTGCTTGAAGATGACAATGAGTCCACCGAGCTGGATGGCAACCTGTCAGATGCGAAGCTCGACTCAGTCAGTTTGCGAATGTCCACAGGGGTGGGTTGGGGCTGCACGACGCTTGTTGTGACGGCATGGGTTTTGGGAGATCGAGAACACATGCCTGGTGAACGCGTCCAACAATTAGCCCGAGGACCGAAGAGAACGTGACGGAGGCGTGGAACAGCAGTGGCTTGGACCAGAATGGGCCGTGCAATCTGGAACTGGGGCTTTTGTCGAGAATGTTACATTCGCGGCAGAAGCACCTTTGCATTCCTATGCATCTAGAAGATGTTTGGAGCGCCATACTCGACAAAGTACACTGGGCTCCATACATTTACGTAACCTTTGCATTTTCCTTGTCGTGATTCCACGTGCGCCATGGTATCTGCAGCAGAGCGGCACGGGCATGCGCAAAGGGAATGTGGGAAAGTCATTGCAATGATTGGCAACATCTCAGCATGAATCCTTGTCGGACTCAATATATACCTCTTCGCCAGGGGAATTTTGCAACACGTGTCGGTTTCAAGATGTTTTGCAGTTCCGGGTCTCGTCCCCATTCAGTGTCTTTTCGGCATTCCACGTGGAATATTTGCCATAGATGAGTGCAAACTCAGACATCTACATTCGAGGCAACGACTCCTGGATTCTACCGGTGACTTGGTTCGCAGTTGAAGGCGTGTTCTGGCATAGTTGCCCACCCCTCATGTTGATGGGCAGTGCATCAGATCCAGTCTTGAAGTTCGGTGTCGCTTGTCGAAGATGCAGCTTCAAAAGGGGGACTCCGACCGAGCAGCACCGAGCATGACCACCAGATCCAAAGTCTAAACCAGCGCTACTGGAGGCCGATGTGCCCATTTTGGAGAACGAGTCTGCCCATGACAGTGATGTGCTTGGCTTAGTTTGATGTGCAAGTAAAGGCAAGGCATCCAATGTCGCTACAGGTCTGGCAGCGTGTGTGCGCGTGTGCTTGTGGGTTCGTGGGTTTGTTGCTTTTTTTTGTGTGTGTATGTATGTATATATATATATATATCTATATATCTCTGTGTGTGTGTGCGTGTGCGTTGGTTCAATGTGCGGGGCTGACGGCTGGAACGACACCGAAGTTCGCATCAACATCTCCAACCTCACGGAGGCCAGCAATGCCTCGGAAGATGTGGTTGAAGATGACAATGAGACCACCGAGCCGGATGGCAACCTCTCAAATGCGAATCTCGTATCCATTGGAAAGCTGCTGTCTGGTAAACGTGATACGGACCGGGGCCTGCAGCTGGTTTAGAACACGAGGGCCTACGAAAGAGCTGTCGCCATGTAAGGACGGAGGAGAACATACAGGTGCCGAACGGCAGCATCCTGGCCATTCACAAGACGTCAATTGCTGTTGCATCTTTCGGTTGCACCTTTTCGCACAACGGCCATGAGGCCAAGAAGGTTCGTTCGGAGATGCCCTCAGACTCATCTCGTTCAAGCGGAACTCTTTCGACCTTCTGCCTAGGCTGCGTTTCAATTGCTTGTTCGGAAACGGGGTGCTATCGAGCGAGTCAAGCGAGGCAATGGCTCGTTCGTTGTTCCTGTGGCTCGGCGGACAACTAGAACTTGAAGACGAACTGAAGTTTCTGAGCAGTGAGTAGAAGAACCCTTGGGATCGAGTGCCGTCTAGAGTCTAGTCATTTCAACACTTAGCAAGCATATGTGTGTGTGTGACGCTGTGTACATGTGCACGAGCTTCACTCACTAATCCTGTCCTGTCTTGGCAAATGTATGTATCTTCGAATGGCAGGAAGACGCACTCTTGGGAAACATATCGGCTAACGACAGCGATGTCTGGTCCTCAGTGCTGGCTGTGGCATTGGACCAACTCAGAAGACTGAACCCGCTGTTGCTAGTGAACTGCCATCACGTTTTGCGCTCTCGTGCCATGTGCATGAAGCTACCTGCTTCGCCGCCCGTCATCATACGTCCTGTAGGTGGAGGAAGACTCACAAGAGTAGTCGTGACCTTGCTGCCCACATGCTATTTCACTAAATTCACTAAATGGTATAGAACTACAGAAGGTCTCACAACTGCAGGATCGTTCACTTCAGATTAAGGGCCCGCCCACCCTGAAGGATGCAGGCCCCAGCTTTCGCAATAGGAGTCGCCATAGCATAAAGACCTTGGGCTCCAGGTCACACTAGTCACTAGTCTCTAGCGTCACCAGATGTAGGTGCTCCGGTAGCTTGAGTTCTGCAAGTATGGGGCGAAGTTCTGCAATTAAAATGGATGTTGTAATCATATGAGGGTTGTTCTAAAGGTCCGTGTCAACGGTTTATACACAACCGACAATGTGACAGGGTTTAAAGAGTCCGCGAAAGATCCCCTGTAGGCGCGAAAGGAAAACAGTTTTGCGCGAAAGTTGTATCAACACGCGATAACATACTACAGGGTTCAAGTATGTTCTGCCCTAGCATCTTCAATCGACTAAGTCTCGAAGAAGCATGCGAGCCCTTAAGCCTGTCGTTTGTTTAGCTGTGTCCATGACACCTTCTAACCCGTGAACCGTAAATCCTACGGCGAATGAGTTTCTGCACCCTTGCATCGTTTGAGCCCCCAGCCCTTACAGATTTGAACTCCGGGCCTGTCGTCGTACTTTCTGCATGGCGAGCATCTAACTTGATAGAGTCCTCAGTACTTGGATTGACTCGTTCAAGTCACACAGGCCTGGAGTTCGATGTGTAAGGTTGTTGGAAGCTCATACGGTGCAATGTGCAGTAAAGGGGGCCTGCGGAGCCTAAAGGGGATGTCGTGGTAGTGAGTGACCATGGCCTGTAAGTTTGAGCTCAGGATTGGGGATGTTTGCAATGGATTGTGCGAAAGTTCCGCGAAAGCTCCGAAAGACTCCGCGAAAGCTCAAGTGTGTCTAAAAGGCAGTAGGCCGCCACAGTTTCTGTTTCTCACAACAGCATTGCATGAGCTCTGCCACAAGGAGTTCGGACTTCAAGACAGAAATACAGAACCTCATGAGGCACCATAGTCCGAAAACAGGTTTAGAATAGATGCAGGAGGCTGCTCGTAGATACCATGGCGATGGAAATAATGGCTTGTTTTCAAGCCTGTATGTTTGCACGTATGTGTTTGTATATATGGATGTAGAATACTGCATGTATGTACGTTTGTATGTGTGTGTGTGTGTATATATATATATGTATATATATATATTTCAAGAATAAATACATGTGTTATATCATATGTGTGTGCATATGTATATATATATACATATGTATATATATATATATTCATGTACATAACCGGCCGCAACAAGCTCCGCGAAAGCTCCGATAAAGTAGCTGCGCAAGGAACACACTTTTACGGAAAGTTCTCAAATTTGGCCGTTCCCACATAAGTGTTATTTTGAACAGCCACCATATGAGGTCCACATGACTTGAACTACCATCAAATAATACGAAGAAGTCCCGTCGCTGGCCAAGGTTGGCGTTGGCGAGAACCTCTCCGATTGGACTCTCGTCGAAAGCCATAGCAGCTAGGGGAAGTTTGAAAGATCATTGGGCAGTGCTTTGGCATCGGACCCGGGGAGCCTTTGCCAAAAGATGGCCTGGGATTGCGTAAGGCCCGCCACAGAGAAACCCTCAACACAAATCGTCGCATGGTGCTCTTAAGTCTTCTAAGTACGACAGATGCTCAGTTCCAAGACTCGTCAGTTCGCCTTGAGCCAAGAACTGCCGGCCACGGCAGAAAGGGAATTCAAAGGCTTAGCTATCTTGGCTCGGCGTTCTGACGCAAAGTGCCACATGTCAGTATTTCTTTCTCCTTTCAGCGTGAGACAATCAAGGGGCATATGCTGTTACCACCAACGATGGGTTCAATAAAGGTGCTGTTATGTGCAATAAAGGTACTATACATCGCAGGACAGAGGAACGGAACTCTGGCCTGCGTAGAAGGGACAGAACTTTTCGGCGGTACATATTGGAGCGAAGCACTAAGACGGCGCACACCATGGAACCAACCCACTAGCCCATGTAGACGTAGCGATGAAGGACTGATGAGAATACTTCGGCGATGTTGAATGCAAGCAGCTTGGGCTTCTCAAGATTTCTGAGCTTTCAGCATTTTGCACTCAGAATGCTGACCGGTTTAGTGTATGAGATTGGGGGTAGGAGACTCTTGTGGTTTGCTGGCACTGCTAACACCTCAGCTGGGGCGAGTTCTCAGGATTACAGTTTGTGCGCATCTTGCAGCGCCTGCTGCCAGCGAACCTGATGACGATGATGTTTCGTCACTGTTGTGCCATCATCATCATGGTCATCTTACCGTCGCCAGCACGTTTGTTCACGTTTTTTCGCTAGTTCTTGCAGCGACGATGTCAGATTGCTGCACCGCCGCGACCAGCAACATCATGATAGACCGTCATCACCATGATCATTTTCATCGTCGTCATCTCGGACTCATCTCCGCGTTCTTCGGCACAACCTCCGCATTGTAATCGTCGCCGTCCTCGTCGTGTTCTTATGCCTATGGTGGTGGTCCTCGTCTGAGATTGGTGATGTTGATGACAACAGGATCGGCATCGGCTTTGAAGATGCACTGCATGCTTTGCCGCCTTTATAAACCCTTGTAAGGCCCTTGTATGAGGGTATGTATAGTATACAAAAGTATATGTACTCGTTTGTCGTGTGCATGTACACACAGATTAATCTGGACATATACTTGTAGCTTCATAGGTTTATCAACTTGAACGTTTACGTCTTCATACTCTCACATATAGATACAAGTCGAATCTTCACGAGTCTCCATCTGACTATGCATTGTGCATTGAAGGGAAAAGCTTGCTGGCGTCTTGTGAAGATTTTAAGATTCCAGCTTGCCGGCACACACCCAAAGCCCGTGCTGAAAAAGGTAATGGCTCGCTGGTTGCTTTCGTGCCTTAGCACGAACTGAGACGGGGTGCAGTTGGGCAGAGGCAGCAGGCGCAACAACGCTCACAGATCCAGCGATTTACAGCTGCGGGTACACGTCACCCGGGCCATCCTAAAGACAGGTTGTGTCCGGGACCTAAGCCACACGAGTCAGGCGAGACTTGTCGTGATGTCCTTGCTAGGCGGCGCAGCATGAAAGTCGAAACCTTGCTCATTTCAGCCAATTTCGGGTTTCGAACTGAGGGGTTCTAGTTTCTGCGGTTATGTAGTGCCTGGAGTACTTAGCATACCAGCGAGAGAGTCAGAACCTAACCTGAAGGCCTAAGAATGCAAGTCACAAGTTTCGGTAGTTGCAATTGTCAGAGTAGGCTGTTAGGCTCTTCCAGAGATGCCGACAGAGAGACCACAGACGCGGGCCCGCGCGCTAATGCACACGAAATCGCATGTATGCACAC